AATCAGTTGCAATCCCAAAGTCTAAACCCTAAGGCTGATGTAACACGGGGCAACTTTTTTAGAGCAATATGCTTGGGAACTTCCCCATTGAGAATGGGTAACCTTTCTATCTGGATACTTTAGCTCGGTCGTGGGCCCTGTGTCTAAACCGCTTTGCCGTTGACGGCAACACGCCGTGAATCGTCAGCCTTAAAGCACCAGCCCCAGCCCCAGCCCCAGCCCCAGCCCCAGCCCCAGCCCCAGCACCAGCCCCAGCCCCAGCCGTCCCGTCCTGGCTCTCGCTGGTTTGATCCGGTTCCACACCGAGAGGGGTTTTCTAGAGGAGCGAAAGGCCACGCCTCCGTCACCAGTGCTGGTCATCTCTCGGTATAAATGTAAGCGAAGCAGTAGTTTTTGTTAAACAGCTCTGCGGTAACGTAAAGTTAGAGATTTCCGGACGTGGAGGGTTTTAACCATCCAAACCTTTTCAAATGGGCACCGTTGCCTAGCGTTTTCTCCCCAAAGCCTCCGACTGAACTGAGCTGGGCGCTTTAATAACATCAGCACGAGCGGCAGAAGAAGGTGAGATTGTGGGCTACGCTTCATATTTTAAAGGGTGGTCATTGTTTGGTTCGGAGAGTCCGAGGAGAATACACTTAATCTAACACTGTTAGTGTCGTTTATCTGTAGTTGTTCATGTTTTCTCACGTTTGAGACGGAAATGTTCGTTTTGGGATCGCAGTTGCTGTCATTTCAGTGAGATTACTGCAACATCCTCGTGTAACTTGGTCTTCTGAAAAATGCTGTAGGAAGCTTTTTTTTGTAAAGAATGTCTCAAGTGGCATAATGTCAGTTTGGTTAGTCTTGTTTTTTTGGGTCTAAACTGTACAATGAGTAACGTTTACAATATCAGTATGTCACCAAGACCATGTTGTGAGAGATGAAATCTTTTAAACGCCTTCCCTGAGTCTGTATTCATTCAAATCCATTCTCGGGTTTAAGATGAGAAGTTAATATCTAGTTTGTATTATTTGCTACAGAAGCAGTCATGTCTGACCAAATGTCTTCTCCCAGGGTTTCCATCTAAGTCACTGTTTACACAAGTCTGTAAAATGGCAGCCATCCCAGCTAGCGGTTCCCTAGTTGCTACTCACGACTACTACAGAAGTAAGTTGCGTTTGCAAGTTCTTTACTGTGATAGGTGTATGCAACTATTAATAGTTGATGTTCTAAAGAGAATTTGCCTTATAAGACTGTTCCTTTTCAGGGCGCATTGGCTCTACATCCAGTAGCAGCTCGTGTGGCAGTTCAGAGTATAGTGGGGAGGTTATTCCACATCACCCAGGTGAGTTGCGTTTCATTTCTCTCTTTTCAACCCCCCCAGCTCAATCAATACTTCATTGCAACAGTTTTGACTTGAAGACATTTACACGCATTGTGCAACACGATTTGCACAGTTTGCACCTACATCACAGCTCTGTTGAAATGGATACTCATCTGATTGCTTTTGAATAATCAGCTGTTCAGGAAATCCCTGAAAAAGGATTGTTGCTTAGTGAAAAAGTGATGTGGCCAAGTATGGTTACCCATACTAGGAATTAGTGCTCTGCATTTATCCCATCCTAAGTGCGCGCACACAGCAGTGAACATCTAGTTCACCAAGATTAGTCATCTTGGATTGAGCTGTTACCTTTTCCTGACTGCATGCATGCATCGGCCTACATGTCTTTGTTTAGAGACTCTTTAACAGTGATTGTGCCTACATGATGGTGCTTTACTTGTTCTGACCTGTTGTTTAATTGTGCTTTAGGTCTGCCCAAACAGGATTCTGGTCATTGGTGGTCCAGTTTCTTCTTTGGGAAGCAGAACCAGCCTGGGATGGGAACTCTTACTGAGGAGGCTCAGCAGAAGTGAGTCACAGCATTGAGTTTCACCCGAGTTGGTGCATGTAACATAAAGGCCTTGCCAAGTGCTGATGCACTCTTAATTGCAGATGCAGTTGCAAATTTGAGATTTTATAACAAGGGGTGTTAGTTTGACATCAATTTCTTAATTCTAAATCCCTTAATGTGATTGGCTCTCTGCAGGTCAGGGGTGGTGAGTGTGACCAATGGGCAGGTGACATGTATTGCCCGGGAAATGGTGATGAGGCAAGTGAGCGAAAGTAGCGATGGAGGCAAGTCGGAGGCGGGTATTTCTTCTCATTCCTGAATCAGACACCAGATCAGGACACCATTGCTAGGGGACGGCTCCTCTTTTCTTTTTCTTTTAATTTCCCATCCATATAATAGGCTGTTTTAGTACTTTTTATTTTTTTGTATTCGTCGTTTTATATACATCACATAATAAATGGAAGAGCTGAAACTTGCAAAAATTATTTTGTACATTTTTACACATCTGTAACACTGATGAAGATGTTTTGTTACTTGTTGTCTTATCCTGTGTTTTTCAGCACAATAAATGGTCTTAAACAGCCCACTACTTCTATTGAATTTCTTTTAATTTTGTTTTATGTTAATTCAATTTAAAAACATTTCTGTATTATGAAGAAATCATACACCACCATCTCTCCTTTACAGTTAAGAGAAAAGACCCCCTTTTCCAAAAATTTGTTTTTATAGTTTGCATATAGTAGTTTACAGACAGCTGCATTTCAGACAAAGCATTAATCAAATGCTAAAATGACAAATTCTGCCCTTTTTCCTCTAAAATTAAGTTTTGAGAGGAGATACTATTCTCAATTTATCTGCACAGTTATTTTGATGTATGACATGGTTATGGATTTTTTTTTTTTTAAATGTAAAGTTGGTAACACCAGCTCAAAGTATCAAAAATGTATTTTAAAAGAACTGTCGCATAGCGTGTGTGACGTTTCGAGCATGCAGGCTCTTCATCAGACAAATGGTGATGGTTATGGGGAATTGTGTACGTGTGTATCATCATGTACTAATTTGTCTGTGTTCCAAGTGTGCGGTGAAGGAAAAGCGCCCCCTTCTGCATTATATTCATTTCATATTTAAGAATGATTTGATTATATAAGCATGCTGAAGCTAAATTCAGTGCATCTGCATTCAAAATGGACTTTGGTAAGGAGACAAACAGGACTCTTGGATAGTAACAGAATGTCACAACTGCTCTGGAGTGAAATGTCAGTTCTCATACAGAAATGATCCACAAAAAAAAGGTAACAGTTAAATGATTTTTGGAAAAGTCGTTTTAATCAAATAAATGCTTTGAGCTCAGCATCCCCTTGAATAGGGTGAGCAGCAGGTCCAGGAATAAAGACAGGTTTGAAGTGCTCTCGAGTGGAATAAAGCATTTTAAAGACATTTTGCTAAACTAGTGCATTGCGTTCTGAACAGACGACACCTATTTCATACTTTGACATGGTTTGTGTACACCAAAAGGGACAGAAAGTACTGCCTGTGGACTTCAAAATGAGCAGTGTGGCTGGTAGACCAAACACACAGACAGTGAATATGGCAAACAGTCAATATGGAAAATTGCTCAGTAGAGATGACGTTGTACAGCTTTGTTCCCATGTGTACATGAATTTTCCAGGTCACTAAGTTCTGATGGTTGGCTAGATACATGGAAAAGCCTCTTTGTGGCATGCTGACTCAGACGTCATTTATCCTTTGTTTGCAGCAACAGGTCCCAACTAAGAGACTGTGACGGGTTCGGTGATTGGTAGTTTATTGAAGATGAAAATAAATTTAATGTACTTTTTATGGCCAGAATTTAGGGATGTCAAAATCTGTAAATGACTAAGTTTATGTAGCCAATAGAAAATGTTTCTATGTATTTGAAAGGTAAAAGCTCTCCAAAACTTTCAATGTCATGTCAAATTAATCTTGACAATTAAATCTAACTGTATTATTTGTCAAAAACACACATTACAGTTTTGGTTGGTCCAGCTGATGTGCATGGGAAAAAAAAAAAACGATGGCTCTCTTAAATATTTGGATCTTTTAACGGCAAGGTAAGCCAACATATTTTTAGCTGCAATTTCTCCAATTCGTTCTTTCAGGAGTACTTTGTCTCAGACTGTTGGTGGGGTCAGGCCTAGTATAAAGTGAGGCAGAATAAATGCAACGCTTAGCTATATGGATGCTATACAGTATATTTACACTACTGTTCAAAATTTTGGGGTCAGTAAGAATAAAAATATATATATTTTTAATGAAAAAATGTATTCAGAAAGGATGAGTGATTGAGTTGTAATGTTACAAGAAATCACATTTCAAACAAACGTTGCTCTTTCGAACTTTATCAAAATAGATCAAATAATCCTGAAAAAATATATTGGGGTGTCTACAAAAATTGTAAGCAGCACAACTGTTTTCAACACTAATTATAATAAATGTTTCTTGAACAGCAAATCATCATATTAGAATAATTTCTGAAAAATCATTTGACTGAAGACTGGAGTAATGATGCTGAAAATTCTGCTTTGCATCACAGAAATAAATTATATTTGAAGATATATTCAAATAGAGCAAACTTCTTTTAAACTGTAATAATATTTTACAATATTTTTAATCAAGCAAATGCAGCCTTGGTGAACATAAGAGACTTGATAACCCCAAACTTCTGAATGGTAGTGTATAAACTAAAAATAATTTGTCCTTCTCTAGCATTAAAAGGCCTCTAGATCTCTAAACAATGCTGCAAGTAACCAAGTAAAAAAAAAAAATAAAAAAAAAAAACGATCCTATAATAAAAATCCTTACAATCCTATGCACTTGAATAAAAAAAACTAGAAGCCTATTATTGGAGCAGCACTTTCACATATTGTGTCTGTAGTGAAGCATATTTTTTTCCAGCGCTCTATACACTATTCTTGTGCAGGTGTCTACTTCACCTCACGATCAGCGGTGCTTTGCCTTTTGGAAGAGGCTCCCCTGGATGCCGGTCTCTTTAAAACCACATTTATTGTCCAACCATCACTCATTGGCCCTAAATCTGTATTTAGATAGAAAGACATGGTCTTGCTGTCAGTAGGGCTAAATGTACAACTGTTTAGATCGACAGATCTCAGTTAAACTCATACTATACCTTGGTGCTTGGATTTGGTCACCCAGACAGTCACTTGTCTTTGCTTTGGTTCCATTAAGTTATCAGAAAGACTATTAACTGCCTTCATTTTGTCTGTCGGGCAGATGCCTGCAAACAAAAACAATCACATACAGAAACACGTACACAGAATCTGAAGAAAGCTACTTCAAACGACCACAGCCCCATAATATTAAACATTTTTGGTTTATATATTACATTTATTTACATGTTTTTAGTACTCAGTAGAGTTTAAGCAATGAAATTAAGTTTATTTCTGGCAATTCACAAAATTGGGACTGATGTTTTTATTTGGTCAACAAATTAGTCAATGACTATGTCTGTTGATAAGGCTAAAATTGGAATAGTGTGCTGTACATTCAGGTACAAGGTCATTCCTGAGAAACAAACAGAGCTTTGGGAAACCGCAGATAGTCAGAATAACACGTGTCCTGTAGCTGGTTAAACAGAGAAGAGCTAAAAATAGTACTGCACTTACTCCGATAAAACTCATTCCGAGCAAGGAGACACACAGGGGCATTTACGGTGGTCATGGTCAGCTTTTATGTGTAAATATGACAGAACCAAATGCTTGGAAAGTGGGGTGTTCTTTGGAACCTGGAAACATAGCAAAGAAGGAGGAGTTAAGGTTAGTGCTGAACAAGCTTTATTTTATGGTCAGGGAACAAATATCCTCATCAGAGCCACATAAACATGATAGCAAAAAAAATATCTGTGAAAAAGTCAAGGTCAAAGTCCTACATGAGGAAAAACCACAAACTCTTATCATGCTTTAAAAAAAGACAAGACATGTTGATTCCACATAAAACAAACATGTTGATTGTAAATTAATCACATGTGTCTCAAAAGTCAAAGAAAGGACTTTTGTCCCAGTTTTGCTCAGATTGTAAACAGAATATGCGTGTCCTCTGTAGGGTTGCGGAAGCCAGTAATATGAACCCCAAAGTAGACTTCTGTTTTTGCTAGGGTATGCACAGTCAAAAAAGTAATGGAAGAAATAGAATAAGAAGTTTAAATGAGTATAAAGACATTGTAATTGTGAAATTGGATGAAACGTTCTATGTCGATGTTTGCACACACTATCTTTGAAAGGCTACACGTTCAGCTGTATAAGCTAGCATAAGGAATAATAATCAAAAGTATACATTGGCCTTTACCTCACCAGTTGAGTGAATAATTCAATATATCTGTGAAAAAATGGTCAAAGTCCTACATGAGGAAAAACCACAAACTCTTATCATGCTTTAAAAAAAGACAAGACATGTTGATTCCACATAAAACAAACATGTTGATTGTAAATTAATCACATGTGTCTCAAAAGTCAAAGAAAGGACTTTTGTCCCAGTTTTGCTCAGATTGTAAACAGAATATGCTTGTCCTCTGTAGGGTTGCGGAAGCCAGTAATATGAACCCCAAAGTAGACTTCTGTTTTTGCTAGGGTATGCACAGTCAAAAAAGTAATGGAAGAAATAGAATAAGAAGTTTAAATGAGTATAAAGACATTGTAATTGTGAAATTGGATGAAACGTTCTATGTCGATGTTTGCACACACTATCTTTGAAAGGCTACACGTTCAGCTGTATAAGCTAGCATAAGGAATAATAATCAAAAGTATACATTGGCCTTTACCTCACCAGTTGAGTGAATAATTCAATGAATCACTCACTCTTTTATTCCTGAATGAATCAGTCAAATGAATAATTCAGTGACATACACATATAAGCAGTCACTTGTCGCCACATAACAACTGCTTTTCACTCTTTCTGCAAGTTACTGTACATCGATATCAAAATGGTATGTTTGTTATGTGTGCCTGACGGGAATTCACAAGCTGACATTTTTGTGTGATTTGACATAATTCCTGTTTGACTGACTGAATCTTTGTCATACTCTTTATCTTCAAGGTGTGTCTGTTAATCTCTACCAAAATATTGTTCCACCTCTAAAAATAAAATCACTTCCTCCACACTACACTCTGAGAGAAGATAGCATGCGATCATAGCTGGACAGTGCTAATTATGGAAATGAACTTTGCTCTATATAGCCAGCCAGAAATGTATCGTTTGATCTTGTCTATACTGGTGCTCTTGTTTTGATGCAGAATACAATGATTCTCAACAGCTCTGCAGTCTCCTGCATGACTCTTTCTTTTCTTAGACACATAACAGGCTTTTTTTGTTAAGGCTCCCTTAAGCACAAGACTAGTCTTGAACACTAATCCTTCGCTGAGTCAACATGAAATTGGTCTTGAACTCATTTGAAAGGTTGAGAAAGGTTAGTACATGAACAGAGTGGTCTGGATTTGAAGACACACCAGAAAACAGAAAAGGTAATGGTGTTGTTCTTCTATAAAGATTCATGTCAGTCCTCCAGGCATTATTCATAGACCAAAATAAATGTTTTTCTCTGTGAATTGCTGTATGTGGTGGGCAGGTGTGTATTAGGGAGAAAGAAGAAAGAATGAGAGGCATAAGAATGAAAGTAGAAGAGACAGAAAGCTGGACTAAGAGAAAGAGAAATAAAGAAGAAGAGGAAAACCAGCCCTCATAGTTGTAAATATTCCCCTGCTAAACTTCATCCACAGTAAAACAAAACACAGTAACAAGCTACAAAGTACATGTACGAAAAAAACGACTCAACACAACTCAAAAAGTCTTTTCAACAATTTTACAACAACAAATGCTGCTTTCTCAGTGACCTGTTTGGTTAGTATCATGTCAACGTATTATACATATCTAGTTTATATACAGGTGCATCTCAATAAATTAGAATGTTGTGGAAAAGTTTATTTCAGTAAGTCAACTCAAATTGTGACAAGTGTGAGAAGTCTGCTTAAAGTTTTTAAGTGTTTAACATTTCTTCAAATATAAAAACAAGAACATTGTTGTTTATATTCCTAACAAAAAGATATATGATTACAAATGTGTCGAATATGATTAGGTTGTTTTAAAGTCCATGCATTATGTCTTGATGTTATCTTTAAGTGGATCTTGCCTTTTTGTAGGCTGTCTGTCATGTGTCAAAATCCTTAAAGTCCAAGGGCAGTGTAAATGTTCCAGAAAAAACCCTGGACTCGTTGAGCATATCCAAACACAGATGAGGTAGCTTTATATCAAACCCCTCCTTTGCTTCAGGCTCAAGAAGTGACAAGCTATTCGCTAAGGAGCTGAAGGTCCCACCCTGAGGAACACCCATATGCTTTCTTGACCATTTGAGAAAAACACTGGGATGATGGAAAGGTTAGGATGCTTGTGCGCTGATACAATATTTTCCAGCCCTGGAAAATGCCAGCGGAAATTCTTTGTACAAGATATGTACAAGCTTGTACAAGCTTATACGTGTGCACATGGATGCTACAGTTTTATTAACAAAGTACACTGTTTATTAAGCATACTGTTTGATGATTGTGTTCTTGTTGCCTTTCTATATTTTCATTATTTCCATAATAATCTCTGCAAAGTTCAACCCACAGGTCTTTGAGGTTAGAGAAAAACCTGCAAGCCATCTGTCCACTTTGACCTATATTCTCCTGGTGAGAAAAACAGGACTATTTCAGAAAGACCCGCGTTAAGTGACATGCCTGCTAAAGAGTCCTGAATAGGAGGAGCCACTGGGGTAAAGCATGCAGTTCGTCTGTTGACAGTCCTGCCTTGCATTAAAGGTTATTCTGTATAAAGGTGAATGGTGAGAATAAAATAAAATAGAGGGCCAGGAGAAACAGGTACAAAATAATGAATAATTAAAAAATATATATATTTTAAATATTAAACTGGCTAAAATACGCAGAGAATGTGCCCCCTGTAATTAAACAAAAATACATCCTTTGGACATTTACATTTTTTTTACATACATGTTATTGTATCTGTAATTATATATATACATACATCATTATTAAAATGAAAGTTCACCCAAAAGTGAAAATTCTGTCATTTTCTCACCTTCATGTCATTTCAACTCTGTATGACTTTCTTTATATTTTGAAGAAAGTTGTTAAAGGGTTACTCCACCCCAAAATACAAATTTTGTCATTATCACTTACCCCCATGTCGTTCCAAACCCGTAAAAGCTTTGTTCGTCTTCGGAACACAATTTAAGATATTTTGGATGAAAACTGGGAGGCTTGTGACTGTCCCATTGACTGCCAAGTAAATTGCACTTTCAAGGTCCAGAAAAGTATGAAAGACATCGTCAGAATAGTCCATCTTTGAAGACGAACGAAGCTTTTACGGGTTTGGAACGACATGGGGGTAAGTGATTAATGACAAAATTTTCAATTTGGGGTGGAGTATCCCTTTAACCTACTGTTCTATAGCTTGCTTGCTGTTTGGATTACCTTCTGGCGGTTTCTTTAATAAACTGTTATTTTATATGCTTTTGGTGTCTTTATCATCTTTGAGAATAACGTTACACTGAATGATGACAACATGGTAAGGTAATATAAACTGCCTGGTTATTTGTTGCCCTCAGAAGTGTCAATACTCACCCATGTGGTTAACAATGTGGCATACTGGCACACCTCAGACAGGGTGCTGCTGCCCGGGGAAGCCATGCAGAGTGGCTGACCTGTTTTATTTTTTTTAAGATCCAAAACCACAACAGGTTGTTGAAGTGCACAACTGATAGAAGTGCACAGAAGTGACAGACGTAAATGATAACGGCACAAAACAATTTTAACACCAGGCAAATGCAAAATATAAAAAATAATGATATAGGCCTACAGTACACTGACATCTGTTGACATAAGCTTAGTATTTAGCTATTTTTGCTTCTTTTAATAAAAATACATAAAGTGCTAAATTGATGTAGGAAGCTCCTGCTAATATTTAACGCAAGCATACAAACTTGAGGTCATGTAATACTTGTGACTATTGTTGTCATATTTTGTGATTTAGAGTTACCTCAGGTGAACTTTGCCCAGGTTATTTTGAAAAGTGCAGTTTTAAGTACCAAGACTGGCCCTGGATCCAATATACAGGCCCTAATAACTAATTGTTTAAACGATTAATCGCATATTGGAGTTGCCTACTTGAAACTAGTTAACCTAAATGGCTAGTGTAATCACCTTACGTGAAAATCTTTAAACTATAAGCTAGACGGTTTGCATGCTCAGATCAGACGTATGAGTTGTACAGTGAAGTGTAAAACAGCTGTTTTCCAGGGCAAATGAGTGACGGGAGCAGATCGATGGTCAGATCCAGCGCTGATCACGCTCTGACAGCATGAGCAGCTCCGTGAACCTCCTTCTGCTGCTGCATGGCTGACCATAAATCACTCCCACGCGGGGAACTAGAGGAGCTTTCCCGGGAAGAGATCATGTCACCATAACCCCATCACCACAGCCCTACTCTGAGCGACTTGAAGCAAAGCTGAATACTTGTTACATTAAGCGATTAACTATTTGTTAAGGTTTACAAAATAGCATTTATTTGATATTTTAATTATGCTCGTGCAGACATATAATTTCTTTATAATTTTTATTATTTAGACGATGGCAAGATGCCCAATATAATGGAAAAGCTATGCATTACAAAGTGCCGGACAGTTATAGTTACATGTGCATGTCAACATAACGTCAATTTTGATAACATAAAATCATAAATATTTTTCAAATCCATCGGTAATACTTACTGATGTCTGTGCTGTTGTTTCCACCAAAATAAATCACTTCCTGGAGGATCATGTCATGAGGAACTGGATTTTTAGTTAAATGGGTGTTCCAAAACACTAACAGGGTGGAAAGTGAAACCTATAAAAAGATTAGAGCCAGAAACACCTGTAATATTTCTTAAACTGTGTTTTTAATGTTAACTGTTACTGCATATCACCAAAAATGGAAATATCATGGCAAAGCAACGTAGTGAAAATATTTAAAAACCACCCAATGTACATTTCATTCTGATAGTGTCCTAAAGAAATACAGTATCTTAAGAAATATATGCTAAAACGTGTTATGCTAAAAGAAATAACAGGAATGACCCTGTCTCTGTTGATGATAATGACAGTGACGGATGTGACCCCATACATCAGCAGTTCTTGTCTAGTTATTAGTCAGAAAACAGCTTATTTATATGTGAAACCTAGAAAAGGTATATTGTGTTTTTTGTTGTAGTTACAGCATGAAGGTGGCAGTGTTTATGGATAAGTCTACATTATTAGCCCTCATGACATGAGCATATACATTTGATAAACATGTTCTGAAATAATTTTGTTATGCTGTTTAGTGCTTTATCATATCCATTCTATGAGCAAATGACATGCCACTAAATAAAACTGAATAAAAAATAGTCTTCTTGGATGCAATTAACAGCTTACCACTGAAATAATGGTGTCGCCATCTGCTGGTGACATTACATATTGTAAAGGCCTGATTCATCTATTGCGACAAGTAACTAGGTTTACCAGCTGCATCGATTTAGAATATTACATTTGCCAAAACAAACACTGTTATCTAAATAAATCCCAAAACCTTTGAATTTGCAGATATGGTAATAAAAAGTCGTATATGATTGCAATCCTGCCCTATCCTTACTATTTTATAATTTTGTAATGCCACTTGGGATAAAAATGTTAAATAAAAAGTAATGAAGAAAATTTTTAAACAAAGGAGTTCTGACATATTTATGTGTCTAACTTGGCATATTTCCTTTCTTGGAAGTTATTTTTTTGGGCAATGTAAGATATAAGTTGTGAGGAAAACAAACATTAACGATACGTAGTACATCAATACAATAAACATAGTTCAGTTGGTACAGCACAATCTTTAACATATTCAAATCAACATGAAGCAGCATGTCTTAAATGTTGATTTATAGCATTCATCTAGCTTTATATTGAATATTATAATTTAATGTGTATGATAAATATTCACATTTGCATTAAAGATTTAAGAAGAAAAAAACATTTAAAATGTGTACATCCAAAATTTTTTTTTTCAAAATCATGTTAATAATAAAACAGACATTTTCATTTATATTTTAACACCCCTGAATTGAATTGATTGTCAATTACAGATTTAAAAAGTTATTTTTTCTTTTTTTTCCCAGACTTCTAATCAGTACAATCTACTCTACCTAAGACCATTTATTACAAAAACAACAGCATATGTCTCATTAAATTCAGTCAATAATTGCTTTGAATACAAATACATTTTAAAAAGTGCTTCATGCCTCTTCCTCATTATCTGAAAACTGATATGGTGGACTAATCTACAGTCCATCTAATCCATCAAAGATGATTGTATGATGCATCTGTCTTTAAGCATTGTTCAAGGTCAGTCTTGTTTTACTATGTAAGAGTTTAAGACTTCAGGATGTTTGGAAGGGGTGGAATCTAACTGTCCAATTTACCCAAGTCCCCTTAGTTGCCTTGATAGATGTCTAGTTCATGCCTCAGTATCTTAAAAGTCGGACGGTCCTCTGGCTCTGCTCTCCAGCAAGATCGCATGATGTTATAAATAACCTCTGGACAATTAGATGGTGAAGGCATTCTATAGTTGTCTCGTGTTACGAGATCATACACATCACAATTACGCACACCTACAAAAGAAGGTACAAGGCTTAATTGACAATTATAAGAATATTGTAAGGCTTAAGATAAAAATGTCAACTATAAATATTTTTGTAATTTATACAGTATAAATTATTTTAGTAATCACATATGAATGATTTATAAATTATAAATGGTATAAATTATAAATATTCAATCTCAAAATGAAAACCAATACAACAGTTAGCATCTTGAAACTGACCTGGATAAGGTATTGCTCCACATGTGACAATCTCATAAAGGAGAATCCCAAATGACCAGACATCAGATTTGCTTGAGTAACGGCCATGACCGATAGCCTCAGGCGCGGTCCATTTATATGGGATTTTCTTGTCATCAGATACATAAACAGGCTCCTAGATATGAATGAAAAATCTTATTACTGGATGCTGCACTACCTAAGACTAAAATCTGACAGAGCATCATGTTAAAAGACAACTTCCTCTCTGGTTATGAAGATCACTTTTAAATGACGTAAAATCAACCATAGGATTGGTTCGATCTGATGATTGCACTGTATCATAATATATAGCAAAGAAATGTTAATTCATTTCACAGGATCAGGTGCATCCTATGTTGCAAACACTGTTCCTTACTGATGTTTCCATAAATCAGGATGAAAATTAAAGTAATTCAAGAGTAATTTCTAGGATGAAGTACTTAAAGTTGATGAAATAAGGTGCCAGTACTACTCTACTTTGTTTGCATATTGGCATGTAAGCCAGCATCAGCAAATAATGTGCATTAAAATGAGAATTGACATTTATTTTTACATAGTATGTGTACCACAAAACAAGAAACATATAGCATATCATTTTAGCTCACCTTAATGACTCGAGCTAGGCCAAAATCAGCAATTTTGCAGACATATCCCTCCCCGACTAGAACATTTCTTGCTGCAAGGTCTCTATGAATACTGTTATGTGTCTCTAAGTATGCCATCCCATCTGCCACTTGAGCTGCCATGTCGATCAGAGACTCCATGTCCAATGCACTACCCTCTGGATCTGAGTGATGGAGGGTGATACATAAAAGGCAGATCAAATTAAGAAGTGAGAGAGAAAGTGAGACAGCATAATTACATAATATTAATATTAGAGTGGCACATTCCCTAAAATGTAAGACTTCAATCATACACATTCAAGTGACAGTGACTGACTTTTTAAGAGGAAATTAAGCAGGTCTCCCTTCTCTATTAGTTCGGTGATGATGTAAAATGGGGCGGAGGAAGTGCAGACGGCAAAGAGAGAAATCAGGTGCCTGTGACGCTCTTGTTTTAAACATAAACTTTTAAATTTTGTTAGATTAAAACAAGAAAAACAATCTACAAATGGAGCAACAAGGAAGTCATTATATAATACACAACTTTTCAAGTAAATTGATATTTAAATTTGAGGTTTTTAGTTTATTGACAAACAAGACAAAGTTGTATTGCAGTGTATCTGTAGTAATGCATTTATTCCACTTGGGTGAATCGAACCACAATATTCCATTCAGGATTTTGAATTGCCAATTTAAATGCCTTATTTTCTGCTTGAGGTATTCAGTTGTGGATTTACCAGTGTAACGTTTAGGATCACTGCCATTCTGCATGACCTACATTGTGTTCACATATACCAGTACTTCAGCAACCACCTGTAATGCCTGTAATGTACAATCCAAAATTATTGGTTGTAAAGCTGCAAGGTATTCATGTCCTGAGGCCACTAAGCAGGTGGTTGCCTTCTTAAGGATATTTTGCTTGAATTATGTTTTTCCCCCCCCCAATGTCACATTACTCATTTACATCCCAAAATTGCCTATCCATGTCATGCTTGCTCAATTCCTCCCCTGAAGAAAATTCCTGAACACTGTAAGTGGCAAAAGTAAGACACCCAGCAGATTCTGGGGTTCTGTCTGAAGTATTGTTTAGCTTGCTTTTAAAGTAATTTCCTTTGGGGTAACAGCACAGATATTTAATAATGAATCATTAATTGGTGATCCTTCACTATTTAATACACATTTATTCAATGCAGTGAAGATAAGGAAACAAATCAAGCTTCAAAAATACTGTAAAAACTCCATAGACAAAATTGTAAACGGTACCACTTTTTCAGCTGTACAGTAGTGTTGTTTGATCAGATCATCCCTTTAGCTAAATCAGATTTGTTAAAAAAAACATTCACCAAATTGATTCACAAAATGATTTGTTGATTAATCAGACTAATGTTTCTTCCACTCAACTTGGTTTCACTTCACTTAAAAAGCTGTTCACACCAAGGATGATAACTATAAATCATTCTAAATCTGAGAGAATAGGGAAGTCCACACCACAGCTATAACGATAATAGCCCAGAGGAATGATTAAGGGTGTCACTAGAACTTTTTACTAGGGTCTCAGTAAAATATTATTGCTAAATCTTTATGTGTCAGTGGGATTGATGTACATCGACCTGAGAATTATTTTCTCTGATAATATTTCAGCAATAAAGTCATGTGTGATTTCTGTCAGCAGTTTAAAATCAGAACTAGCAATGCCAGATTTGTGAATGAATCACTCTTTTGATCTTTTTAATCGTTTAAACAGGGAAAATGTTGTTCACTAAACAAAATAAGTGCTGGATGAGGTGGATAATATGCCTGTGGCCCATTATTGTTGAAAGGCTAGAAATTCAGCTGGTAATCAAACTGTTGCTGGTAGCCATTGACTTCCATAGTATCATGAAACTGCACAAGTACACAAAGGTTGAGGATCCAGACGCAGTGTTTGTTAAAGTTTTTATTTCTCCACAATCAAAGTCCAAAAACAGATAAAGGTCACAACAAGGGCAACTAATACAACCAAGAGCAACAATGCAAAAACTCAGGCAAAGGGTGATCAAAAGACAGGCAGGGAAACAAAACCAGGAACCAAGACACAGGAAACGAGGCTTAGAAATACAGTGTAGACACATACAAGACATAGCAATGAATGACAGAGAGAACGGGGCTTATATAGGGTGAGCTAACAATGCTAATGAGACACAAGTGCAAACAATGAGTGCTGATGACGCCATGCACAATGGCGCCGACGCTGATGGCTGCCTCCGTGGCGTGCTCTGCAGTTGTTTTTATGTTTTTGTTAGTTTGTCCTGTCTTTAGTTATATCCCTGCAATCAGTTTCACCAGAGACGAATTGCTGGACATTCGGAAGTACACACCACCCGATATTTCACCGGTTTTCGACTATTCGGATGTTTTGCTGGACATTGTTGTCGGGGGAGCGAAGACACACTATTTATTCACTCATACACTTATTTATCTAACACACACACTCAGTCTACATTCAATTTGCACATAATATACCTGTACATACAACTGTCTATTGTTATATACCTGTACATACAATTGTCGATTTGTATAATTGTCACACTTATTTACTTGTTCTATTTTTCTATTTTTTATTATCTGTGTTTTTGTTCTGTCACTGTCATTCTGTTACACTGTGGAGCTTCTGTCATGAAAACAAATTCCTCGTATGTGTAAACATACTTGGCAATAAAAACTCATTCTGATTCTGATTCTGAGACCCAACAGAGGATTGTGGGGAATGAAGTCCTTGATGGAGTGGCAGAAGTCTGGGATGGAGTGCCCTCTGGTGGCCATCAAGGGCACTCCAGCTGGTGATCGTGACATAAATTATGGCTACCAGCAACTGTGTAACTAACAACTTTCTTTAAAATATCTTCTTTTGTGTTCAACAGAAAAAATTAATTCATACATGTTTGAAATAACATGAGGGCGAGTAATTGATGATAACATTTTTGGGTGAACTATCCCTTTAAAGGGGTAGATGACAAAACTACAGCGCACACTTATAACAAACAGAAAGTTACTGTCCGTTAGTGTGAATGCTAATATAGTTATTGTGTCTACACTATAACTATTGTTATAGTGTCTTCACTGGATGTGACTGGTTGCATTGCAATATTAAATCTAGAAGCTCTCTACACTGGACGCAACAAAGTAACCACAGCAAATTCATTTGTCCTTCCTGTCAGAAGTATTGCAAGCGCTAAGAGTATGCGGTTTACTGTTGGGGGTTTGTCATGCCAAATCTTGTCATGCTGCATAATGTGTACAAGTAGACAGCATCACTGATTATAATGAACTTTATTACATGGCTCTCTGTAATACCTGATTCTGATTGGTCAGTCACAACATTCTGAGGTGTGTTATTCCCCGATAACAACAGCTTCCATTAGCAATGGCGCATAACACACTGCTCATCCAGGTATTTGAGGCCAGTGTTCTTTTTTAATGTCTCTCATATCACACCACCGCACTCTCGTTTTGTTCAAATGCAACTAGTATCATCTTGCACCTCAGTTGCTGACTTAATTTACTGTAAAATAAACCCAAAGGACTATTAGTAGGAGTACTAATAGTAGCCAAGCCTACGATAATATTGTTGAAGTCTTGTTGCCAGACTGATTATTATTTTTTGTACACTGTCATGAATTTAAGATAATAAACAGGTAAGATATTAAAACGCTTGCCTCTCAAATAACATATGTCCTTTATTTAAGTGGTGAAAAGCTGTGTAATTAGTGATACGACTGTAGCCTACATTATGCCTCCTCTTCATGTCGGGGTCCTGATCACCCTGTAGGCATTAAATTAGTGATAACCAGCTGGATGTACATTATCCCTCACCTATTGTCTATTGTAGTCGCATCGGTGTTAGTGTGAACTGGCCTTAACATGTTCACAGCTGTTACCAGCTCACTGGAAGTGGACATTATAAGAGAATAACAAAAATGTTGGTCTATTCTTTATCCAAAGTTTCAGAAGACTTGGTATAGTGTAGATAAACCAATGTTATTGTGTTTTTAGTGGGTCTACTATTGCATTATTTTTGAACTTTGAAAGCTTTGGTCTGCTTAGGAATAGTACTACTTTAAAACATTTCTCTATTTGTGTTCCACAAAGCAATAAAATAAAAAAAGTGAACTATCCCTTGTCAGTACGTGACACCCAGTACAAGTCTCATGTCCAGGTGCGTTTAGTACGGTGGCCCAGTAGTGCACAACACAGCGCAATTAAAAAAGCAAACATAAGCTCACAACACAACACAATTCAAAAAGCAAACATAAGCACACAACACAACGACATTAAGCCACAACACAACCACAGTAAGCTCACAACACAACCACATTAAGCCACTACACGACCACATTAAGCAACTACATGACGACATTAAGCTCACAACACAAGGACATTAAGCCACAACACAACGACATTAAGCTCGCAACACAACGACATTAGGCTCGCAACACAACAACATTAAGCTCGCAACACAACGACATTAAGCTCACAACACAAGGACATTAAACCACAACACAACGACATTAGGCTCGCAACACAACGACATTAAGCTCGCAACACAACGACATTAAG